GCAAAAGTGATTGTGAGGTATGCCCGAGTGGCAAGAGTGATTGTGAGGTATGCCCGAGTGGCAGGATTGATTTTGAGGTATGCCCGAGTGGCAAGAGTGATTATGAGGTTTGCCCGAGGGGCTGTTTATGATTTCATCATTTTTGCTCACCTTTGCATTGAGCCTTTGTTTGAGAAAAACTATTGGAAAATAAAAATGATTTTATTGGAATTGGGTTTAAACGAGATGTTTGATTCAAATCTTGATTTTTAAGAGCATGTGGTATTTTACTGAGTTTTTCCTGATATGAACGTTATATGCTTCATTGCTCGTCACTACTACTCAGTCTTTATTTATTGTTGTTACTTACTGAGTTGGCGTACTCACGTTACTCCCTGCACTTTGTGTGCAGATCCAGGTGTGCCTGGATACGGTAGCGGTTATTGAGTGTTCTGGTTGCAGATTTTCTTGGAGATAGCAAGGTAGCTGTTTGGCGATCCAGCCCCTGCTCTTCTCCCTCTTATCTTCCTCTAGTAGTATTTAGCTATTATTTCAGGCTGAGTTAGCCTTGATATTATTAGACAGATTATAGTATATACTCATGACTAGTGACACCCCGATGTCGGGCTTTTCTTTTCCGCAATTATATTTTTCTTTGATTTGAACTCTTTTAAATGGAGGTTTTATTTTAAATAACCTTGGAATTTTCTTTGAAATGAAATATCAGTTTGTTTTGGAATGAGTCGGCTTGCCTAGTTCCACATTAGGCTCTATCACAACAGGGGGTTAGATTTGGGTCGTGACACTGGGCTTGCCCAGCTGTGGTCGCACAAGCGAGAAAATTTTCGCAGAAGTGGTGTCGCTTCTGCGATGGCTAGTGCGCAAAAGCACCAGTGGTCTTAGGAGCGACTTTTCATCCGCTGAAGCGCAGGTGTGCTTAGGGTGTCCGCAGAAACGATATTTCTGGTCCTAAGTGAGGGTCACACCTGCGATGATTTTTTCGCAGGTGCAGAGCCGAAAGTGTGGCAGTAAGGTCGTAGGTGCGACATAACTGGCCAGAAAAGAGGATTTTTCGAGGGTTTGCTTCATTTTCATTTTTGGGACTTTGAAGGCTCGGATTGAGGCGAGATATTGAGAGAATTTCAAAGGAAGCATTTGGGTAAGGATTATTGACTCATTTTTGATTAATTCCCATAAATCTACTGTTAATTACACCTTTTAATTATGATTTTGGAGTTTAAAATTGGAGAAAAGTGTAGAAGTTCTTAGACCAAAGTTTTGCGTTTTGAAAGGCTAAATGAGGTCGGATTTTGATAATTCTTGTATGGTTGTTCTCGAGATCGAATGGGTGTTTGGATTTTATAATTTTGGTCGGATTTTGAGATGTGGGTTGGGTCTACGTTTTGGAGCGAATTTTCAATTCTTAGTTAAGATTATTATTTTATTATTTAAATTAGTTTCCTATAGTTAATATTTATAGTATGAGATTATTTTGGCTAGACTCGAGCCGTTCGGAGTTGAAAAATTGAGGGAAAGGTCTTCTAATTGATTGATTGAGCGTGGTTTGACGTAGTGACTTGTCTAACCTTGTGTGGGGGAATTCCCCTTAGGATTTGGTATTGTGGTGATGATCTCTGATATATGAAGGCCGTGTACGCGAGGTGAGGAGTGCGTATACGGGCTTAATGTTGAAATTTCGGTTTTTGCTACATAGTTTCCTTTTCATGCCTTAATTGGGTTGCTTTAGTACGTTATAGTTATCATATTTAGTCTAATTTCACATGTCTACTTGTCTTATCTCCTATTTGCAACTTGTATTACATGTTTAGTTGAATTACTTGCTTTCCTTGATTTCTATATTCATTACCTAACTGTGAAAATTCTTTACTTGAAATTTGCTATCCTTGAAATATCATTTATTTAGTTGTTGCATTTTTGTCTTTCGTGTTATTGTTGAGGTGATTGTTCGATTGTTTGTACTAGGTTTATGCCATGCGGTTGTTATTGTTTGCACGAGGTTTCTCTTGGGCGGTTGTTATTGTTTGCACAAGGTTTCTATCGTGTGATTGTTATTGTTTGCGCGAACTTTCTACCGTGCGGTTGTTATTATTGCACGAGGTTTCTGTTGTGCCATTGTGATTAATTATACGCATGCGGTGGTATAAGGTATGGGTGTTGAAACGCATGCGGTGAGATATGGTGGGCTTGATACGCGTGTCTAGTAAAACGCGGGGTGCTATTTCGGAAAAATAATTTTCAAAGACCAAATATAAAGGCTCCCACGGTGATATAAGTAAAAACTGTGATTTGTTTTTTACGATTTAGGACTACGAGGCGGTACCTCGAGAGTGCCATTTTGTTATTCTGTATTTGCTGTTTTGTTTGGTTCTTGTTTTCCTTAACATGTAAAAATTTTGTTTTCTTTTCGTGTTGCATTAGCTTTTCCTTGATTCTGTGTTGTTATTTCCCGTAAATTTTTTATTGTCCACTTCCCTGTCATTTTCATTATATCATTATATCTTCTGTCTTGTTCTTATTATCTCTAGTAGGGCCTTGACCTGACCTCCTTATTACTCTACCGAGGTTAGACTTGACACTTATTGGGTACCGTTGTGGTGTACTCATACTATACTTCTGCACACATATTTTGTGCAGATCCAGGTATATCATATCAGCCTCGGTATTAGTGCGATGTGTTGCTGCTTAGAGACTTCAAGGTACACTTGCCTGCATCCGCAGGCCTCGGAGTCCCCTTCTATCATGTTTTCCTTATTTCCTTATGTTTTCGATAAACAATGATGTATAGGATTGTTCAGCATTGTATCTAGAGCTTGTGACTCATATCTCACCGGGTTTTGGAAAATTGTACGTATTGAGATTATAGTCTATTGATTAAAAATTGTGAAGGTTTGAAATTTTAAGTTTATTTGATGTTTACGCATATTGTTAGGATTATCTAGTTTTAGAGACCATGTGCCTTCACGACATCCTACGGAGGGGATTTGGGGTCGTGACAACTAGGCCTGATAGCATATGGGTTGTAGACAACTTTTGGCGTTTGTTTTCAAGGACCGTAGAAAATTACTTTGAAAATCTTATTCAAATTTTCCGAAAGTCTATTTTGTATCAAAAGCTATTAGTAAAAAGTTTTATAAAAACAGGGGCGGAACTCCTCATAGAGTTAGAACGCGTTAGTTCTCTAAGCAAGGTTTAGGCAGATAGGTCGGGCTCCCTCCAATTCTCAACCCTGACCGATGCCAGTAGTTCTTTTCTGAAAGGTTTGTTAGGTTCTTATAGCAACCAGTGGCAAATTTCTTCTTTTACTGTACATAGATTTTCGTTTAGTTGATAGATGTGTTCCCCTATCCTAATGTACACAGCTTCCATCACATTTCATTCTCTTATTGGTAAAATGACCAGCATTTTAATCCCAACTTTGCAAAATTTCCGATTTCATTGAAGGAACGTCCAGAATTGGTGATTATTTATGGAATAATACAATGACATTAGGCAAATTTCAAACACAGAATAAGCTATGGATCAAGTAGATAATTAACACTTACATTGGAGATTGTGGTACAATCAGTCAATTATTGTCTTCTGCAAACCTTTATTTATTAGCACAATCATTCTTTACTTATTGTTACAAACGTACCAAATTAGAGAAACTCTTACTGACATTAATTGACAAAAGGTAAATGAATACCCATCTAGGAGTATTAAACAATGATCAACCAAGATGAGAGATCTTAGGTTTTAATAAAGCTCAGGTGCCAGGCGAGGCTTAATTATCACTTCCACAGGATTTACCTTACGCATATTTATGCCTGCACCTTCCTTCATATCTAAGGGCTTGTCATTTGGAGTTCTATAATTGAAACCCTGGATCAAATGTGCCATTGTTAAGTGTTCCACTTGCAATGCATAAGTCATCCCCGGACAAGATCGTCTTCCAGAACCAAATGGGATAAACTCATAGTGCTGACCACGGAAGTCAATATCACCAGCGATGAATCTCTCTGGATCAAACTTATCAGGATTTGACCAAAGTTTAGGATCGCGTTGCAGTTTCATAACGTTTGCGAATAGTCTAGTCCCTTTAGGAATGTGATATCCACTTACAACACAATCCTCTACATTTTCATGTGGTATTAACAAAGGTCCTGGTGGATATAATCGTAACACTTCTTTAACAATAGCTTGGAGATACACCAAATCCTGAATATCACTCTCTTCTACCCATCTATCTTTACCAACTTTTGTGTCTATCTCTTCTTGTGCTTTCTTCAAGGCATGTTGATTGTTGATCAATAATGCCATTCCCCAATTTATGTGAAGAGCAACTGCGTCTGTGGCATCCAAGATCAAACTCTGTGGGCAAATTAGAATATAGTTAAAAAGGAATATCAATCATTCACATGTTGATAGGGAATCAAACTTTCACCAACTTCCTTTTTATAGGTAGTTGTAGGGTTATGCTGTTAAATATAAAATTATCATACCGAAATCGAAAATATTGGTCCGATCAAACTTTTCTATAACAACATCCCCATATAACACTCATTCACAATAAAAACCAAATTTTACTTGGAACCGATTTTTATGTTATGTTATAATATGTCTTTTATAACAACACTTCACTATAATAGACAAATAATATCTGCACAAATGAGGTTGTTATAGAGAAGTTTGACTGTATATGATATTCGGTATTTTGATATTTGGTATGTTAATTAGTTTAAAGTTTTGAGTAAATTCCAGTTTACCCCTTAACCTTATAATGTGGGGAAACAACATCCCCTTAATTCACCTTTTGAATGGGAACGAAACCCCTCTTGACCCAAATCTCAGCTAGCAAAATGAAAACCTGTTGCTATCATTTTTGCCTCTAGTCGGTTGGTGCTGGTTGCATGCCGAAATATTTTTCTTTTAATTTGGATGTAAAAAGATTCATCACATATCTCATTTAGCAAACATTATTAAGAAGTCATTAGCTAGAAGTTCATGCAACAGAAAAGTACCAAGCTTTATAGTTCGATTACATTAATGCCATGGAAAGTTGAAAACACCTTTTCGTATATTTATGAACTGGTATCTCTTAAACCTGCAAAAACATATTTTGGTGCTCCATCTGAATTCTGTTTTAGTGCAAGTTATCAATATGCCGATATTGTTTTTTTAACTTTAACATATCTCTGAAGCACGTTAAGACTACTAAAAGCTTACAAAGAAAATATATCCAAAAAAATTAAAAAGTAGATGCAAATAATAAAATATAGAACAATCAAACCTGATTCAACAAGACAACAAATAGATAATTTAATAAGCTTTTGCTACTTCAAAATTTTTGATGTAATTCCAAAATACTTGAGAACAAATCAAACATATGGTACTTGTGTTCTGCTCTTTTATTTTGTGATAGTAACCAAATGAGATTGGAATGTAGATAAGGTTTTGCAGAGAAAAAAAAAAAGAGATAAAAAGAATGTGGGCTCATTTATAATAATAATGGTACATAAATTGAGACAAGATAGTGGAATGTTCACGCGTAAGACATGAATTCCCAAAATATATTCTTTTTCCAATTGTTTTCCAAAGTCCCCTTTTCTTGAAACTTGCATTTTTTTTTTTTTCAAATACTTAATATTGTTAAAAAAATGGACAAATACATTAACTATTAGAAAATTTTTGGGACCCCTACAAATAAGGGGCCTAAGCAACGGCTTTACTTGCTTGGCCATTAGGCCGGCCTGTTTGATGATTCTACTTATACAGAATACAAGCCTCTCATAGAGAGAGAATCACTAGTACTTAGCTTATAAAGGGAAACCATGCATGATTTCGAAAATTGGATGGCAATTCTTTTTTTTTTAGTGTTTAAATTCCGGCAACAGTTCGTGGATTTTTGCAACAGTTTTTCAGTTTGCTAGCTGAGTTTTAGGTCGAAAGGTGTTCCCATTCGGTGAAGGGGATATTGTTTCCCAAAACTAAAAGGTTAGAGGGGTAAAGTGGAATTTACTCTTAAGTTTTTCCGAAATATATACTAAGTTATACAATACATATCTTATTGATTATAATATACTACTCCCTCCGTTTCAATTTAGATGAGGTAGTTTGACTCGGCACGGAGTTTAAGAAAAAAAAGACTTTTGAAACTTGTGGTCTTAAAAGCTTAAGGGATAAAAGCTTTGTGGGGCCATGATATTTTTATGGTTATAAAGCTTCTCATTAAGGGTAAAATAAAGAGTTTAAAATTGATTATTTCTAAATTTAGAAACGTGTCATTTATTTTGAAACAGACTAAAAAGGAAAGTACCTCATCTAATTTGAAACGTAGGGAGTAAATGTTTTGGAAAATACTCAGAGAAACCCGCAACCACTACCTTTCTGGTGCGCACGGGTAACTTGCTCACTGTATAATAGCTGGCAAATCACATAGGAGATGTAAACGATACTAGTCAAGTCTGATGCAACGAGTTTTGATTAAGAAAGGTGCCGATGAGGGGAATTGATCCCAGGTCTCCCATGTGGGAAACCACTGATCACCCAGTTGTGACCGAAACGCAAGTACGTCTTCAAATCTAGCTCTCGCCATACGCAACAACATCAACATCCAACATCTGCACGCAATATGCAAAAGTGTAGTATGAGTACGACTGACCCCATGTACTCAATAAGTAACAAACCTAACCTTAGGTTGAAAGTAGTGACGAGTTGGTATAAAGGTCAGAGCCCAACACCAATAACCAGTAATAGTGCATAACAATACAATGAAGGTAACACAAGTAATAACTCTACGATAAAGATGCTCATCTCGTTCACAGTTCCGAAAAATAGTCATTTACTTTTCATGTATTATAGTAAAACTTAAATCTTTTGCCGAAATCACCAAAAATATGAGTAAATCTGAAAACTGTGATTTTTCTCTAAACTTTCAACAAAACATAAGATATTTCTTTATTAGATGGCATGAGGAATGTATGTCTTTATTCCTACATGTCAATGTGTTTGGGAAGTCATGAATGACGTGATACTGTACATCATGAGGATGCATCAATATGTCTGTATGTCAAGTGTGTATGTCAAATATGATGTCACTCAGTGACAAAAACTATGTCACACCCCGTTTTCTCGCGAAAACGGGTTTCGACGTGTACAACTCTTTTAAATGGGTATTGAAAGAGAAGAGTCGTCACCTAACCATTTTGAAGTGCGTTAGGGAACCTATTAGCAAATAACTCTGTTTGACTAGCCCGTGTCACCAAAGATCGGGTAAGGGATCAAATTACCTCAAAGAGAAGGTGTTAGGCACTATTCGAGGTCCACAACTGTGTGTCCCGACCGAACTTTAAATTATGCGAATGATGTAATTAGGCTAGGTGATCAAATAAATAAAAGAAAAATTTAGAAGTCGCAAAATCTTGTTAAAATACATGAGAATCGACACAAATCTTGATGACTACAAGGATACAACTACATTGATCTATGAATAAGTGTACAAATACATAAAGAAAGGAGGGGGTCCTAAGGTTTTTAGCCTAAAGGATAACCTCGTGCAACATAAATAATACTTCGCAACTGCCTTGAGGTAGGGGTTGCTCATATTATTCAGCGAGCACAGACTATCATCTCCTACTACCCGATTACTATGTTAAAGTTATTTACCTAAAGGCGCTCTAATTCAATTCTAGGTCGTACCCTATGCATGCACTACCAGTCCCATACCTGTGGTCTAGGAGGCTTTTATTTAGGTGGTTCTAGACTTCACTTAGGATGCTTAAAAATGATAAAACTAGCGTGCATTCAAAACATATAGGACTACACATAAATGCAAGAAAGGGTTCAAGTTAACCTCCATACATAAACAACAAATGCACGCGGGCAGTTTAGACAATGCATATTTTAGGGAATTAAGACACATTAGAGTTGTCAAATCCTATAGGCATAATTTCTAGGCGATTCTGATCTCTAGCATCACACAAACATCATTGTTGTTTCTGACTAATGAATTCGTAAATTATAGGCCTTAAAAAAGTTCCTATAAGCATGATATCTAGATTGCTTATGCAGTGAGGTAGTAAAACAGTTTGAACGCCATGAATTAACGACGTTTGACTTCATAAACACTTTCCAGATGAGTGATAATATCACATAGGCGGGACAGTGTAATAAAAGTAACAGAAGTAGTCGATTGATTAATTAAGATCCTATAGTCATGATGTCTAAATGAGCAGCATGCTAAGAGCAATATAAGAAGTTGATTGATTAATTAATTAAAACCCTATAGACATGTTATATAAGTGGACATTAGCAAAACATATTTTATTGTATCTTATGCGCATTCTATCTAGATGCGTCTAGTAGTACATATAGAAACAAATATAGCAATTACATGAGCCAACATGTTTTTATAAGTTAAGTGAAGTATGTGTGTGATTCCTACATGCATGCTTTCTATTAGTGTACAACACACTAAACTAAATAACATATAAGGCATGCTGAACGAAATAGCAAATATAACACATAGACCCTATATGCATATTTTTTACTCTTTTATGCAAGCATTAGAATACCCCAGCGTCTTTCACTAATCTCCCCTATCGTTTGTTTACAAATTATTACATGATCAAAGTTAAAAAAAGAGAAAAATAAATGGACTTCGAATATTACATAACCAAGATGATTATAGGCCCAACAAATAGGGCAGACTTAAGAAGAGTTAACCCCAACACTGTCTGGGCCTGCAGTAGACTCTTTCATTCGGATAGCAGGCCCGGATTCAAACAATTCCCAAAAATAGGAGAGTGCCCATTTGCACAACCCAAAGCCACACATGGACTCATATCAAGCCCAACAGTTACAAAATTGACCAATTTACCAAATAAATTAATAGAAATACATGAAAACCAACCAAAGAGTTCTAAAGCAATACCTCATATAAGCAATACCAAAGAATGCATGATTGACCAAGCACCAGAACAAAGCAACAGGTATGGTTAAAACATTGCGACGATAAATATGGTTCATGTAAGCAGGTAAAAAAATAAAGTCCACATAAAGAAATTATCAATAGAAGTTCATTAAGGCAAACTATGGGTAAGAGATGATTCCCTAGGAATTTCAGTGCGAGAATCCAAAACAAGGCATGAGAAACACTCATAATAAACAGCAGATCAAATCAAACATATCGATACAAAGTCATTCAAGCTGAACACATAGGAGTTTAAACTTAACGATGAGATTCGGAATTGCAGAATAGTAACAATACAAGTAAAATTGCCAATGATTACAACACAATATTGGAGTCACATTGGTTCGAACAACATGGATATGCGAAGCACTGGAAATATGAAAAAGAGGATAAAATTGCAAAAGTCAAGACACTCACCAGTTTGTAGATTCAACAAATAAAATAAAAGAGAAGGCTAAGTGTCAGAAATAACTCGAATATCACTAGCAAAGAGAACAACCAAAAGACCCAAATCCTAGGGCGTCATAGTTCACATGAGCCTCAAATGAGCCCCGAGCAGTGCTCGCACTACGGAGGCCGTTAGAGAGGGTTTTGATGGCCTTGGCTTTCAACCGGCCAAGAGCAATAGATTAAGAATAGTATTGAGTGAGTGAAAGTATGCTAGAATAACAGTGATTCCGATCCATTAAAGGGGATTAGGGGAGGGGTTTATATAGTAGTAAAATTGAACGAACAAACAAGGAAACATAATTAATCAAACACAAAAATAAGGAAAGAAAAGCATGCAAAATCAATTCAGAATAAATTTAGGAGAAAAATCGGGTAAACCCTAGTTTAAGAAGGAGAACGCAAAATGGAGCGGGTAATGAGAAATATAGGAAAACAATTGGACCCATACAGCCTAGTAATGAGTGTATACAAATGAAATATCGTCTGGATTTAAACAAAATGGAGCTTGATTCCCTTGATTCGGAACCTGGCACTTGCCAAAAATAGGTGAGTATTATGTGATACCAAAATCGTGTAAGAAACAATGAGACAGAGCATAAATGAAAAGGGAATCATGTATTTATTCCATGTTGAGGTCGGAGTTGGACAGAATAAGGGAGGCGACTACTATGGTTTGATAGGAGAGGAGATGAGAGGATTTAGGGGCGGTGGTCTTAGAGAAATGGTAGGGTTTCGGGTGGGTATATTTAGTTTAAAGCAGAGGGGTGATTGTGGGTTGTTGGTCTTGAGAGATCAACAGTTAGGATTAGAAGAAAACGGAGAGGGTCATTTTAACGGGTCCCGACCGGGTTTGGGAGACGGGTCATTTGGTTTGGGCCAAAGGAGGTTATGCATAGGATTGGGGATCTCTGGGCCAGTGATTTGGGTCTGTTTGGTTCGAAATTAGGCCCAAATTTGGGCTACATATTAAATACACCAAAAATTATAAAACATATTTATAAAAGTAATTAACAAATAATAAAAATATTGTTTGTATAGTAAG